CCCCAAAACCCCAAAACCCCAAAACCCCAAAACCCCGTATAAAATCGATAAAATTGAACAACAAAAATAATTAAAATTCATCTCAAAGCATAAAGAGCAATGAGAAGTGTTCTAGACATTAAACTCAGAAGGCTGGGTGCCATTCTGCGTTTCATATCCAACTTTCTGCATGGTCTCGCACTTAGCAGCCTGAGGGGCCTTCCGGTCCTCGGTTCTTTGCTTATACCTATTAATAAGTTCCTGGATATTAATCCTCCTGGTCGCTGGCTTGACTGCATATTCTGGAACAGGCTATGTCATATTAGGATTACATCAGAACGTAAAGGAAAATTTCATATTTTTACTTTCTTTAGGATAATTTTAGTGATACTAATAAGTAAAAATTTGCTCAAATTCCATAATTTTTTATACCGACATTGAGAAGAAATTTGGTATCCAGGATGATATCTGAAGCTTAGAGCATCATAATGGAGGTTTTATGCGAAATTAGTGCTGTATAATTTATATTGAGTTTTACAACTAATCTATGAACCATAATGCGAAGTTTTTAATTTCTTAAAAATTATTCGTTGTTAGAATCTCAGGTCAGAAGACATTTCCTTTGCAAGTGTTGTTTTTAAATTATGTTAAATCAGTTTTGAAGGGACAGTCTTTGTAGGTTAAGAGCTATGCGCAAATCTGGGATATGAATACAACCTCTATTTAGGTTTTATAAACTACTTATGGATGACCAGCCTTTAGAATGTAAGTTAAAAGTGATGGAATCCGAGTTTATAAACTTACAAGTTTCTCCTTAAAATGCTCTCTATGCTTCGGCATTATGCTTATGCCATTTTTCTTAACTTTCTCCGTTTTTGATGGTGAAGTTGGCTCTATTGACGAGAGTTTTATCTTGATTCATAGCAGAAGTCAGCCTAGTAGAGTAATCACTCAGATAGCCCATAAGATCAATAAGCTTGTAATTCTCATTTAGTAAATGATTTCGGAACTTTGGAATATTTTTATGACTTTTTTCAATAAAATAACTTGAAATAGGGGTTTTGGGGTTTTGGGGTTTTGGGGTTTTGGGGTTTTGGGGTAAGCTGCAAGTTTTGGGAGAA